TGAAAAAATTGATCCAAATATCTATAATTGTACATCATGTGCAGGAAAATGGTCAGAAAAACTGTCAAGTAAAACTTTCTGGTTAGAGAGTTGAAACTCGCAAAACCATTGCTATGGTCCTTTAAGTTTATGCTGAAAAATCACACGCTAATGTTTTTATTTGGAACTTTAACATGATTATGTATCTGCTGAACAACTTTTATAACCGCAGGGCCCTTAAAATCTCATTACATAATTTCTAAACGACTCTGGCACTGATGAAAGTACTTCCTTTTAGCAGCCTTGACATTTTAATCCGAAATGAGCCCAACGCTAATTAGAGCCACTTGGTTTGGGGGCTTTGTTTTCTGTGATGAATGACATAGCTCACATTTGATCACCTTTTTGCCTCTCCTCGCTCATGATAAAGAAATTAGATTTATGATTATCACAGTGCAAAGACACTGATTTGTGTTGAGGTTTCCCCTCAGTTACTGGTATTTCCCACGTTTGGAAGTTCACCTTCCTCCAGAGGTCTGCTCTGGACTGCGAGACCCTGTAACGCTCTCTGGAGGATCTTTTGTCTTGTGGCCCCCCCCTCCCCGCCCCAGCTTTGACAACACACGTCGCTCACACAAGGCCCAAATGTGTTCTCCAGATGCACAACGCTGAGCTCTTCCTGGTGGCGTCAAATAGATCCTGAAGACAAACAGCAGGGCGTCTATAAATACCTGAAGTCAGAAGGGAAGGAAGCCTTTCCTGGGCTTACATCACAGTGTTCAATAACAATTCAGTTTACTACAGCTTGTGCAGATGCACCTACTGGCTGATTTTTGGGACACATTCATACGAATAGAGCTTGAAAGTGACAATCACGTCCTGTTTTTGTGTCTGATCTGATTTTTAAAGACTTTACTTGTATGTGTTTGAGATGAAGTCAGATTGCTTGAAATGTCGATTCCTTCTTCACTTTGCTTGTGCTGTTCAATATGTTTAATAATAACTGTAAAAGTCTCTTTTTAAATGACTTTTTCTCATTGCAAGCATGGATTAATATATCATTTTCACATTAAAAGTTACTTTAAAAGCTCATTTGCACAAGTAAAATGAGCATTACACTTAATTCCTCTGTCAAGCCTTACTTGGCTTAAAATGTGGTTTACAGATATGGAGGATTTCCATTTCATTACAAATATCCAGCACACTGATGTAATGAGTCACTATAGTGCAAAATATGATTACAGATTTATCATAAAGCTAGATAATGAGCTCACCGTCTGCCGCCATCCAAATTGCCACTGGGTAACACCACCCTGACAACATTACGAATAGTAACCTGAAAATAGTATCAATAAAATATAAATGCCTTTAAATGAATAATAGAGGTGTTTGCAGTGGAGGAGGCAGGCATGCAAGAATTAACTAAGTCATAATTTTCTTCTCAAGTAAGATGAATGGAAAGCCGTAAGGCACACCATGCTGTGCAGAGTTGGCCACGCACCACACTTAATCAAATAAAATGGAATATTCTCCTCACAAAAACCACCAGTCATAACTCAAAGGCCTCACAGAGTCTGAGGGTGAGCAACAGCACCGGTTCTGAGACTATAAATCACTGTGGCAGGGGGATGTTCTGCCGTTTCTTCAAGAGGGACTGAAAACAAAGCTTTCGTTGAGCAGGAGAAGAGCACACACACATACAGAAATCTGTCCTCACACACCAAACTGGACACCGCAGCGCCTAGCCTCGGGCTGGAGGAGAGAGAGAGAGAGAGAGAGAGGGAGAGCGTGTGACTGAGAGGTCGCTGGTGCAAATCTCATGATTGGTGATCTGAAGGAGGAGCGCTGTCACCTCCATTAGTATCTACAGTCGGCGTGTCCTGATGGAAAACACTGGAGCCGGTCAGAGGCCGGCAGCAGAAGCTGTGTGCAGGGAAGCACTGGCACGATGCTGCTGACAAGGCACATCCACGCTCAGCAAACTGCACCAGGTGTTTTACGTCTCCATTTTTTCTATATTATGAGAAATGAGCAGGCTCTTGCTTTTACTGTAATTGTGGTGGTTGCTGTGATCAAATGTGGAAAGTGGAAAAAGTCCAAAGATTTGGTAGGTTTTTTTTCTCCTCGGGGCTCAAAACAAGCAAAACCAAGAAAATCTGACAGCTTCTGCTCTGTATCTGCACAGAGGGGAGTTTGGTGACATGACGGTGGGGTGGAGCATGTCAAGGAGGCAGGTAAATTACTGCTTGTGCTATGGTTAGCTCAGTATGTTTGCTTTCTGTAAACTGCCAGTAAGAGTATTAAAAAGCATGCCTGTGTTACCCAGCATGCAAAGCAGGCAACTGCCTCAGGACTCCGGCTGTCCAAGGGCCCTCAAAGTCCCACTCTCACTGTGTGTGTGTCAGTTGGTCTGTAATCATTTGATAAATTGCACAACTAAAGCATGATGTCATCTGAAACAACACTTATGAAAGGTCCTGCATTATCAAGGGTGATTTCTTGTAGTGGAGCCAAAACATGCTGTGGAACCAAAAGATGGTAGGTTACATACACTGCTCAAGATAGTTATTGAGCAATATACTAAAAATACACTGTTAAGACCCTTATAAATGAAGAAATGCAGAGCTGGTTCCCCTGACCTGAACTTGGTCAATAACATTAACCTCTGACTGAATAGAGGACTATTAAAACAATGCAAATAAACAGGACTACATACACACTACTTGTATAAACAAACTGATGGACGCCCCTGGTTCCACCCACTGTCTGCGCATTGTGTATGTATCCTGTTGTATTCAAGTATCCACCAGGTACAGTGCGCTCTGCTTTTGCCCAGAGGCCCAAAAACAAACCAGTGCTACCAGTTATTACTAACATTACTGTGTACTAACTGCCACTCCTGGGGCAGTGAACCTGTGAACCTGAGGCCTTCAGGGCCCCTGAGGGTCTAGACCTACTGAAGTCCTGCTTGTAGGATTATATAAGGTAGATGAGAGCTACAGCATTAAATCTAAACTAGTTGTCTTTACTTGACTTAAAGTTACATGTATATAAAAGAATCAAACATTTTTTCTCTAACCGTACCTCTCATAAAACTGTTGATAGATCAATCTAATATTTTGTCTCTATCTCTGTTGGTTAAGGTAAACAGTAAATATACAATAGAAATAAATTTTACAACAAAGAAGAGCAATAAGGTCAGTTTGAAAGACTCTATTCATGTTATCTGGACTCTACCCACAGAGCTCTCTGACTCTGCTTGTCTATAGCATTTGGAAAAAGGGTCAAATCGAATTGAAAATGTATTGACTACTGCACATATGTATTGGTAGCGCTAGTTTATCATCCCTCTGAGTTAGTAGGAAAGTATCAAGATGATCTCTTTGTAATTCCATGACCATTTTTTAATTTTAAAAGTGAGGATGGTTTTGATATTAATTTAAAATAACGGAAAGAGCATGAATTCTAAATATTGAATGACCTTCATGTAAATTTAGGCTCTCTCCATATATAAAGCCATTAACCTCTATTAAAATGCTGTCATATCATGATATCCCAGAGGACTCAGCTGTGGCCCAGTAGCTACAAGACGTCCCCAGACAGACAATAGAGAGCTACTAGTACTAATCCAGCACTAAGGCGGTCTCTCCGTCTGCTTCCTGCTGTAACCCCCACAGGAAGGAAGTGAGGGCCTGCTCTTACTGCAAGGGGCATTGTGAGTCTTCCTCTATGAGTTCCTGTCTTGAACAATGGGACAGTCCTGGACCTCAGCCGCACCTTATCACAGAGACTATCTTGAGTGGTGGTGGGGTGCAGGACATCTCACTTAGAACCAGTTTTCTTTGGTTCAAATCAGATTAGGAAAACATGTGTGCTTGTTGCTTGGAGTTCACAAAGCCCAACTGTATGTGAGCCAGGACTATTAAGTATCTAATGTTTTGGTGACCTTTCATCCCGTCAGGTCTGATAATTTGGTGCCAAGAGGAATCAAAACAAATCAGATTCTAGTTCCTGTGATTTTAACCAAACATGATGGACTACACTCTTCTTCAGTGGTGTTCGAGAGCACAGGAAAAAACAGCTCAATCTAAGCATCAGTCAGGCTGTGGTTTGACTGTCCATGTCAAAGACGTTGCATTTATCTTGAAGACGTGTTGAAGACTTTGTTTCTCCCTACTTAGCTTTGCAATCTCTAAGGGTGACAACAGAACCTCATGGGCTATTTATAGGCGTCATAGTGCAATAATTTGCTGCCACTTGAGCTTATATGGTATATGGTGTTGTTCACACCAGTTTAAATCCTCTGAACCATTCTGGAGAAAGCTGCACAGTATTAATAAACAGTGTATAACATGCTGGCTTTGGTTGCAGGCTGAAACAGAGGCAGTAATTTGCACTGTCTCTGATATGTGGACGGAGCCAAACAAGACTCAGGAGCTCAAAGCTCAGCCTCAAACTGGAAAATATAATGAATATGTTTCAAGAAATGAAACACTGGGCTGCTCTATTTCCACATTTAGTGACTGCAGGTTGCTATGTCAGATTTCACAATGACGATGAGAAATGTCAACTGTGCTGAAGAGGCAGGATCCAATAAATAATGTATATTGGCTTATTTTTTTTTCCATTCTGCATCCCTATAACGTGTGGAGCAGTGGTACAAATGAGTGAACAATATTCCGACCAGTTGTGAACAAGATCTCAGTGGTACAGTCAAGTTCAAAAAGAGGAACAGTTTCTCCATGAGTGAATGAGCATACGCAGATTTTGAGAGCAGACTCTAAAATGAGGGCCAATGTGACATAATTTCTTTTTTCCAGATGACTTCAAGAATTCTCCACAGTAAGTGGCACGATCGTAGATATGTTCTGGTGCTTGAACACCTTAATCACTTTATCATACTGTATATATCTGTGCATTCATTCTCATTTGTAGCCTTTATTTCAACCACCTAAAGCAGCTTTGTAAATGCTCTGCAGCTGGATGTAAACAAACAGAGGAATGAAAGAAACTTCACTGACCTGTATCCACTCCCTGACGGTGTCATCTGAGGGCGTCCAGCCGTTCTCCTGGTAGTTGAGGCGAGAGCGTTCAGGGGACCAGTTGGAGTTGTACTGGGAGGAGGCGCTGATCTGCTCTGAAGAAATTTCCCCTGACTCCATGCCCAGTGGCTCCATACAAGCAAAATCTGCCAAAGACAGAAAAAAGCTAATTAGCAAGACTTCAAATGCGACATTGAAGCTCAAAGTTATGACCGATACCCAGTGATGTGGAGTAAAATGTTGCCAAGCTAATGTGTAAAATTTCTTTTTAAGCAATAATAAAATCATTTGAATCAATTGATCTCCCAAATGGATTTCTGTCATAGTTAATGGCATGACACAATTAACTGTTCAGATGTCGTCATCCCCACAAGGAACCCAGTTGGATCAATTTCCTAACCATAACTGTCGTCGTTTAGTAGATATGATAAAGATATGTCATCGTATTATAGACTGTGGTGGTCTGTGTGCGTTTTTGTACCTAAACATCATTCCACTGCACATGAATTATGGTCGGGTCACAAGGGGAAATTTTTTTGTTATCACAATCATACTAACCGCCCCTTTAATATGAGTTTAAAAAGGCTATTTCACAGATAGTTAGCTGGGTGAACTGAATTTTGCTCCCCTCATTTTTGCTGCTAATGGCGGAATTTATCATTCAGCTCAGAGCCCGGATTCTAAAGGAAACACCTCAAGTTAAAGTCATAAATCTGTGTAGGAAAAGAGCTCATTTCGTCTCTGGCTAAGGCAGAAAAAAACAAGTGAGCAGTGTGATTAGAGTGTCACCCAGACATTGTAAAGTGTGTGTCCCTGCTCCCTGCTGGCCAGTCAGACACAGGGGTCACTTGAAATAGCCTCTGTGTTTAGTGACGCTCGCTTTACGTTAAAGTTCAGAGTTCGGTCGCCACTCACAGCACAAAAGCCCAAACTCATGCATCTGTAGTTATTCATACAGTTACACACTTACCCTACATACAGACATTTGGGGCTGGAACCCACCACAAACTGCAGATTTGTTAATGAATTTTAATTGAACGCTTAAAATAACAGAAAAACCCTGGATTGGCTTGTGTTATAGTAAAGGCCCTCAAACACTCTTAAAGCTGAAGCTCTTTAAAACCTCATTGTTTTTGGTTCAAATCCAATGTGTACAGAATGAAAATAATAAAAAATATATAGCTAAAACTGCTAAAACTCCAATCAAGAATGACTTTTAACTTGTGAAACTCACAGCTATCTGATGGCTTTTCTCAAACAGCACTGATATATACGTCTGCAACTAATGATTTTCTTCAGTATCGATTAATCTGTCAGTCTGTTTTTTCATTCATTTGATGAATTATTTCAATGATGAAATGTCAAAAAGTACTGAAAAATGCCAATCAGAGCCTCTCGGAGCCCAGAGCGTTGTCTTAATATTGATTTTTTTCCTTTGACCAACACTCGTTTGCTGTAAAACTATGACCAGTTTCTGTTTTTTTCACTTTTATGATATAAAATCCTCACATTTAGCGACGAGAAAACACAATTGTCATTAATTAATTTTCTGTTGACCATCTAAACAATAATCATCTACTAGTAATCCTTTCAGCATACACCATGATTTTTAACTGTGTATTACAGCTGCAGTAATTAGTTGATGAATTGATAAGTCGATCAACAGAAAATTTGCAACTAATTTGATAGCGGTTTTATTGTTTCAGTTGTTTTTCAAGCAGAAAATGCCAAATATTCTCTGGTTTAAACTTCTCAAATGAGAGGATTTGCTACTTCTCTCTGTCATTGGTGACAGTAAATAGTTTTGTTTTTTTTAAACCGTTGAAAAGATAAAAGCAAATTGAACATGTCAACATGAGCTCTGGGAAATTGTAAATACAATTTTTTACTGACTAAAAGGAAATAATCTGCATATGAAACAATAATGAAAATAGCTGTTATATATATATATGTAGGCTTCTCATGCACAAACACATATAAATAGACACAAACCCACACAGGCACATTTCGCAGCTAATGTAGTGTGAAGCTCTAATTTTGGTAATAATGTTTATCTGAAGGATGGTGCTCTGCTCTGTGGATTGAGGAAACTGCACAATCCCTTGTCCTTACGAAACACTTTCAAAAACAGTATTTGGATAAACTCAAAGTACATGTCTATCTCTGAGGAGGCAGTGTCCACTCTGTAACAGCAGGGGAGCCAGGAGAAGGAAGAGGGAGGGGGCACAAAAGGAAACGTGTGTTTGTGTGTGTGTGTGTGTGTGTGTGTGTGTGTGTGTGTGTGTGTGTGTGTGTGTGTGTGGGAGGGCTGTCTGGAGACACAGGGTCTGCCAGACTGACACAAACATAGTTACATCATTCCGATTTCCACAAATAAATTAGGGAGAAAGTCTACTTGCAACATCACCAAACAGGCTACAGAAAGCTGGAGTTTGTGCTCATCCTCGAGTTTTGTTAACTTGACAATTTTCAGGCCAAAATCTTACAATTCAGAAGTTTTCTCTGCAGTGGATTCAAGCCAGAACATGCTTTGAAACTGCAGGTAGACAATGAGAGAGTAGAAAACACTGGTATGATTCAGCTGATGCATCAGTTTATTCCTAAAAAGCTTCAAATTTTTTGTTTTTCCTTTTGCCTCAGCTCCCACCTCCACAAGCTTCTCTTTTGCTCTTTTCTTATTTTTATTCATGACACGACCTCAATGTCCCGCTCACAGCAGGCACGAGGGACAAACTTAAACCCCATCCCTCTACTTCTCCATCCAAAAAGGAAAGACAGGACATAAAACTGACGCCCGCACCGGTGGTTCAGCTGATCAAAGGCCCAGCTGGAGGCCGTTTCTGATGGTGATGGCAAGACGGAGTGAGAGAAAACCGTAAATTCACTGCAGGATATCAGAGTTTGATTCCCCTGTGGCTGTTAGCAGAGATGGTGCTTGAATGGAAGCTCTTGCTGAAAAATTTAAGAGGCTGAAGGCACAACATTGGTGTAAACATCAGTGTAAATAGAAGATAAATTTTTACTGCAGTCGTTCCCAACCGTTTTTGTCAGACGCACCCCCGCAAGTACCAACGCTTTCAATGGCACCACCCGTCATGTTCCAAATGTGTTCACTGAATTGGCTGGTCTTTAAAAAAACACTATTATAAAGCAATAACTGAGTTCATGTTTATGTTGGTTTGGTCACATTTGCATTTGCTGGCAAACTCGCAGCAGCAGAAGCTGGATATTGTAACCATGTAACCATGCTCCATAGCTCTCTGCTTCAGCCATCAACCTATTACTTTTAGCTAACTATTTAAACTGTTCAATCATTACTTTAACTATCTGAACTGTTTATTCATGATTTGTACTTTTAGAGAACTGTTTAGACTTCTCTGCTAGCTACTCTCTGCAGCTAGCTAGCTTTAGCACTGCTGACTTTGTGGGATATGTGGACTTTTTGCACAACATGATTTCTTTCATGATTCTTTTTTTCCAAATTAGTTTAGCTTCTTTAAAATCTTTCCACGTACCCCCTGGCAACTGCTGAGGTACCCCCATTGGGTACAAGTAGCCCTGGTTGGGAATTGGTGGTTTATAGCATCAGAGCGGTTGTAAAAAATTGGACAAAAGACAATGTGATTTGGTTGTCAAGAGGCTTTAATTCAATCTGTTGAGCTTAGCTGGGGGTCTGAAGGCAAGAGTAATTGTCTCTGTCTGTCTGTGTGTGCGTGTTTGTGTGTGTGTTACTTAAGCTAAGATAATTAGAGCTTTGTCTAACACCACTGCAGCTCTCAGCCATCCCAGCTAACACTAGAGGGTCAGATTTATCCCTCAGACATACCACAGTGCATGCAGACATGTTTGATACATGTAGACTACATCCATGTATTATCACATTGTCATGAACACTCAACATCAATATCAGACATAACACACACACACACACACACACGCACCCACACACTCACACAACCCAACAACACCCACATCTTGCCCGTGGCAGAAACAAACAAGAGAAATGAAAAAAAGTGAAGATAATGACTTTGACCCCTCTGGTGAATTGTCTACATACATATGAGACTTCAGAGCCTGTTCCTGATAGAGTGTGTTGTATAGTCATTGAATGGTGCATTGTGTTGAATGTAATATACAAATTAAAAAAAGCTTTACAATATGCTGCTCTTGCCCTGCAATGATGTACGGAAGGATTTGGTCAGTGGTTTTGTTTCTGATTTATTTGGATGTTTTTTGAAAATTCAAATACCTTCATGTGTATGTGTAAAAAATGGAAATTATATGAGAACTGACAAGAAAACTGGCCGTGCTATTGTACGAAGTTGCATTTGATACGATCAAAAGCTCAAGAAAATCTACTACATGGCCAGTGACTTGAGATTGTTTTGTCAATATTGGATATTTCTTATGCCTATTTTGTGTATGGTCTGACAGTACTGAAAGCCAGTTTACGTTGTCTAGTAGATATAGTATTTATTGCGGTAACTCAATAATTCTTTTTCCATATCAAACAAAGGAAAAGAAAGAATTAAACAGCTTCACTGACCAGTGTGTGCAGCTGAGACATGTGACTCTTCAGATAAAGGACAACACTGACCCAGACACCAAATAAATACACAGTAACTGATTTTAAGTCTTTAAATATCAATTTAGAGCAGTGAAATGTAGAATTTTATGTTCATTTCTCCCCAAGTGCCCATGTAAATCACCACGGGACCTTAGGTAAACTCACCTCTGTACACACTCACATTCCTAAACTGGAGTGAGTGGGGAAGAGGTCACCAGAGTGCAAGAACCATACGAACCAACATAACTTAAATCTCTACAGGCCTTCAAACAAGGTCATACAGTCAACTAATGCAGACGAACTGCTTTAAAGAATGTTAAAGAACACGTGGACGAGAACGTAAACGCAATATTTAAAAGAACTAGACCTAAAAGCAACAATGAGAAATGCTTCATCTGGTGATAATATCAGCCAGATACATCGTTCAAAAGGAGGAGATAAGAGTTTGAGGTAGGTTAGACTGATGAAACTACAAGCTGTATTTACCAGAACCAAATCACATTTTAAATTCAGTTTGAGCCATGAGATAAGATTACATTTACACCATTGTGTAGTTAAATTCAGATCCTGAATCTGATATTTCAAGTTCAAGCAGACTTGAATCAAACAGTAGCTGCAAATGATTCCTACAGCTGCTTTCATCCTGTGCGAGTTCCAACCATGTCCCCTAGAAATTACGTTTCCATACAACTAAACTGCGACTGCAAATCCATTTTGTAGGAAACATAATCGCTGGCTGGATTATGCTCAGAGGTGATGTATTTTTTGAATGAATGAAGCGTTAAATGTATTAACAGCAGCTAAGTGGCCAGGAGGTGTTTGGAGAGGATGGCTGGCGAACAACTTTCACACCAGAGACTGGGCTGCTATGCATCCTGACTCTGGTCTGTGGTTTAGGCAATAAAATGCTTTGATTAAAGTTATTGAATCGTTAATAAAAACGTTAATAAATATGTTGTGTCTGAGGTCACTGTAACTTTTTCTCTATTAAACCATATCACAATCTTTCCCAAACATTAGCCAGCTGCTGTGAGTTCCTACACAAAAAGGTTTAACAATGCTGCAGTCACTGTGAGTGAATATTGTGCTGCACGATGTGATATTGTGGCAGAAAACAAACACGTTCTCTGTGAATTCATTGCGTTAATTTGTAAATTGTAAATTGTAAATTGTAAATTTGTAACATGTTTCCTTCAAACCATATTGCTGGTGCAAATATGTTGTAAATAAAGGTAATTTATAGGAGACAGGGTTGGAATATATGCAAGAACAATATGGGATCATAGCAGTGGAAAATTCTCTAAATCCAGAAGAAGTCACATTTTTTCTTTGTTGCATCTTGTTAATATGAAGGTTGATTCTCTTTCTGCTTGCTCTACTTCCAACATGGAGGTCAGGAGTCAAAGATCACATATAGACCAACTCTGTTCGAGCTGGTAGGGATTCAGCGTCTTGCTCAAGGACACTTGGGTTGAAGCTGAGTGAACTGATAAACCACTAATTCAACCACTCCACTGAGTAATCAGCGATAGATGAGGCAATTTTTATGAGCTGTAGTAGCATCTTTATAATATACAACACAAACATACCCAGGAAATGAACCCTGGTCCTTCCTAATGCCAGATGACATCTGTACCCTCCACATCACACAACACCCCCCACCGCCTTCCTTTCTCATCACTAATCCAGCTGCTCACCCTCATCTTCGTGTCCCGGGGGGAGGCTCCTCTCACGGATGGTGTAGTTGGCAGAGAATCCCTCTCTGGCGATGGCGTTGTCAGTGGTGATGGTCATGGACAGGATGCCGGTGTAGGAGATCACTCGGCCCGGGGAAGTCTGGCCACAGTATCTGCCAATGTGAGGACCCACTGAGGGAAGGGGGGGAGAAGGGGTGAAGGAGAGATGAAGTGAGAAGAAGGGAGGATGAGAAAAGGGAATAGGGGTGATAGAGAGACAAAGGGAATGAGAGATGAAACAGGGGAGATGAAGAAAAAGGAGAATGTCAGCTTCCTCACTCATCAACTGCAGAGTGCTTGTATTATTCACTTTGTCCTTCCCTGCCCTCACTGTCCTGGGAAACGCTTCGTGACTGAAATCAAAAACACACGAGTTTGAGACTTGTGTTTTTAATGTGTCACATCCCTTCTACACAGAACTCAAGTCTAAAAACGTCACATTTAGATTAAATGCCCAAAACTTTAACCTGTCCTGATCAAACTGTATCAGACAGTCACAGTGAGCAGCTGATCCCCAGTCAGCTCCAATCTCTCACCTCGCATAAGTGAAGTTGTGCCCTTGAGATAGGAAAAATGGTAACATAACAGCTAGCAGAAACTCTCATTTCCACCCTATACTGTATTGGCACTTATTATCCAAACACTATATATAAACGGTCTATATATAATCATATCAGGAACAGCAAAGAGTAGTCCTTTTATCTCGAGACAGTGCAGGGTATTGTGTCAAATCTGTGTGTTTTATCATCCTGTTAGTTACCACATTCACAACATTGAATCCAGGTAGTTAAATTAAGATTTGAACTCTATATTTAATGTGGCAGAATTACTGTCATCTAATTAAAGCCATGGTATAATTCTGCTTTTTGAAAATGGAAAGATTAGTCCTCACATGATTGGACACATTTTTGTGAGAGAAATGAAGTATGGCAGAGAGATGAAAAAAGCCATTTTCATGATTCAAAAAGAATCACTAATGGTCATTTAAATTCAGCGTATTAAATTGGAAGAATTCCCTGTTTTACTTGATGTTAATATTAAGTCAGTAAATTGTGGCTCTCTGTACCCTGTGGCTAAAGAAACAAGTCGACAAGTCAGTGAAACATTTGCTATCAGTTTTTGCCTGTCATGTATCAACTAATCATGCAATTTTAAGAAAGATAAACCCCTGAGTTTAATTCAAAACATCCTCAAAGACTTTTATATCCATCTGGATGAACAAACACAGTGACACAAGTCATTTCTTAATCAATTTCTAGGAAATCTCCTGTAGAGGATGATGTAGTTTGTCATAATAGGGAACTTTGTTTCCATTTCTTGAATCTCATGCTTGCTTGCAGACAAATTTAATATTTTTGAATGCATAGTTTACCTGTTTTCATTGATTTATGCAGGTAAATAACTGGAATTCATTAACTGTAAGTGCATCAGTTGAATTCGCTTGGAAATGATGGGCCCCTAAAATAAAACAAAATGCTACCAAAAAATAATTAACAAACCAAAGACATTTTAACCCATTTCCAAAGTTCACCAGTCTTCAAAAAATAACCTCAAATGACATATATCCTTCATTTATCTGGATGACAAATTATGGAAAATAACATTGATTTAGGTAAATATACCCAATAACAATAACAGTGTTAAATTCTGATTCACATCATTAAAAGTTAAGCTAATCAAGCAGCCGTCTGGGTTTCTGCATAAGATTTCTGGGGATTTATCTTTCAGGAAAAGAGATGCTGAGCATGGTGACTCAATGTGATGATTAAACATGAGAGGCACAAACTGGGGCTAAAATCTCCTGTAACAACGTGATTTTCTTACATGCAGCACACAGCGACAGACTGTCTCGTGTCTAAACACTGAGCGCTGCTGATGTCCCCGCCTGCCCACAGTTTGCTGCCCATTTCATCCTGTTCTTATCGGAGAGAAACAATGCCAGGCTTGTGGTGCCTCCTGTTTCGTAGAGATACTGTATCTGCAGCCTCTCGAGGACTGAAGGAGGGAGTGTTCAGCCCAGAATGAAATTATAAATATCATAAAAAAAAAGAAAAAAGAAAAAAGAAAAAAAAGACACTTCTCCAATTTTTCCTTCGGCTTTTGAGGCAAATAATCAAAAAAGTAACACGAAGCGACAGCAGTGGAATGCCGAGCTTCAGTAATCTGGTGGATTATGTTTATCAGTTACAGTTTTAAGCAGGTAGTCGACAATCTGTGACGGATTATACTTTGAATTTTTTTTGCCTTATCTGGTTACGCTATGATGCTATGTGTGTTTTTGCTACAACCGGCAACAGGCAATATGTACGGTGGCCCTGAAGGCTGAGATGTTGTATTTTTCCGACATCAGATGTGGCCCTTGTGATAAGTATGTTTTTGTCAAAGTGACAAAATATGTTCTGCAGAATTAACAACTCTCCAATTATGATATTTATGATCTTTTTTTTTTGCAGAACTGATGCAAATTACTCAAAGAAAACAGCAGTGCATGATGGGAATGTTTGATGTTAGTGTTAACATTGCGAAAGTGTCTGATGGGGTTTAGAGACTACATTCAGGTCTTCACCCTGCTACAGAGACGCTTTGTTATCTGCACCGATACACACGTTCACTCAGCAAACACAGGGATACACAGGCTCTATAGCATCACACGCCGACGCAGTACATGCATCAATGTTCATGCAAACAGACACACCTGAGTGCACACGGATACACACACAGATCATTTGACAGGAAAAGCCCTGGCATGTTATGTATGCTGGCACGGCTTTAAAGTGTATGTCACTGTCTGTCTACCTGTGCCAGTCTTTGTGTCCCTCATATTCCCATGCCAGTCCCCTCCTCTGGCAATGATCAGGCAAAGCTTTGGGCACAGCAGCGAGTATTGTGGACATCCTGGCAGCCTAGTCAGGCCTGTCCGAGGTATGTAGCTCTCACCATTATCTGCGCACTGTACGGCTAATTAGACGACAATGGAAGCTGTGAAAGGCGGTCCAAATGAGGCGAGGAGTGTGAACAGAGGGTAGAGCAGGTTGCGTCTTCGTCATTCATGTGCAGAGAGCTGATTTTCAGAGTGCGGTTGGTAAAGGAACAACGAGTCTCTCTTTCACTAGCTTGGTCTCTTTCAGTATATCCTGCATACTTGAGTACAACTGAGCATCAGCTCAGCCATTAGTGATTAGTACCTGCTGTAAGTTTCTGGATGCTAAAGAAACAGTTCAACATTTTGTGAAATGTCCTTATTCACCTCCTATTGAGCTTTGGAGATGCTACTTTCCAGTCTTTATGCTAAGCTAACTGGTTGCTGGCAGTAGATTCATATTTATCTTGAGAATGGCATCAGTCTTCTCCCCCCAAATCTACTGTGTTAATGTGCAATCAGCTGTATTTTTTATGCATCTCATCATTTGTGGTGTCTTAGTGCTCATTCAAATAGAAATGTGTAACTCAAGCAAAACAAACTAAACAAGTCATTTCAATGGAAGAATGGAAATTTCGTTTTTTGTTGTACCATGGCAAGGTTTTTTCGCTTGGGAGCACAAGGTGAAAACAGTTGAACATAGTTCATCTTTTGGGGAGAAACAATGAGGCTCATCTGTTAAATTGTGAAAAAAATAACAACTTGTCATTTAAATTCATCTTCGAATTCACCAACTTCTCACTGACTGAGATTTCTTTTGGCGAAAATCAGCATGTTTTGGTTTGGTAGGACAGGAAACTTTTCTGAATTATTATGACAGAACTGATGTGCTTAGTTAGCTTGAGTTTTATTTTGAAATTCAAACTCTTTCAAAGCCTTTTTAAAGGATCTAAAGGTTCTACAAGAACCATTTCTTACATTCTCTGCGGGGGAGAGAAGTGACTGATAAAACGTGTGGTCAATAGGAAAACGACTCAGTCACACAATCACATTGATCTGTAGAAGTGTAGAAATCAGCCCATCAGAGCCAATCAGAAATTGAAATACAAGACTTGGTACTTCAGCGATGTGATAAGACAGAAATCACACAGCTATCCTTCTCCCTTCCTCTCATCTTCATCAACTTATTTTTTGTCTCTGCTTCGCCTCCACCCCGCATTCGCATCATTCATCCTTTGTTCTCCTCCCTCATCCTTCCCTTCACCTCCGCATGTCTGTATCTCTCTATAAGAATTTATTTCTGGGACAGGTTGTCAAGGTGAAAACAGCCTTGAAGGTTCATATGATGCTTACAAAATTTAAATCATGCTTGTGGACGCTTAAGTCTGTTAATCAGTGAAAATGAACAATCTCAAATTTATAGCATCATATTAACCATTCCTCTTTGATCTGAACCTGATGCAAATCCTCTCCTCACCTGCAGGGAAGCCGTCCCAGATCTCCAGCCAGTCGTATCGGCAGAGGGCGCCTGGCGGTGGCGTGGTGTCGGGCTCCATGTCGAAGCTGTCGAACTCCACCACGATCTCCGACATCTTGGGGGCGAAGATCATGAATGTGCAGTCCAGGTTGTTGGGGTACTTCTCGGGGAAGCCCGGCGTCTTGATGATGCCCCGGGGAGCCGTGAAGTTTCTGGAACATTCTGGACCTGTGAGGGAAGGAGATACAGCTGAGTGTCAAGATGTGTTTGGACAGAGTGACTAACTCTCTCTTGGACAGAGGTGTGAACTATCAGGGGTTAGAGGGTGGTGAGGGGTCATAACCTGTTCTTAACATAACTGTCACTTTGAATACGACTTCCCTTTAACATGTCTTTTTATGTTATTACAAAGTGAGACTTCTATGATACTTTAAAAGTGGAAACAAGCATTTCCCAGCAAAGATTTCAAGGTTGCTGATACAAAATAAAAGCCTTTAGCTATTCATAGCTGCAAAAAGTCATCCTCAGAAACTTTTGTGTCTGTTTGGGTTGATAATGTTTGCTATCCAGTCCATTTTTTATATATTTTTGACCTTTTTCTGTCCTTTTGCAAAAAACAATGAAAATATTATGGAATGAACACATGAACTGAACGCTTCTGGGTGCTCTGGCAGCCCAAAACACTTTTACAGCTCTGAATTCTTAGTCTTTTTTAAAACTTTAGATCAGATATTGTCTAAAACAATGATGAGATTCATTGAAAAAATAGCCCATATTAGACGGGAAAACTGACTTTTTCCGAAGACATAACAGTAACAGTCGAGAAATAAGAACATCACTTACTAGATCAACAATAATTGTTGCTAGATTAACAAAACTGCAAAAACAAACTAACAACAGCTGATTTATATCAAGTCAAATTTGAGCTCAGTCTCTGAGAAACACCAGGCTCCATGTCTTGTTAAGATGGAAAACACACCCTTTGTTTTATTGACAAAACTTATGTCATCTCCCTCCAATCAGACGAGCTCTGCTGTGATTGGTTCTCTCCCCTGTTGGAGCCAGTTGTGTCTGTGTTGTGTCTGTGTTGTGTGTGGGGTGGGGTGGGTTGTGGACTGGGGGTGGGGGGTGGGGAGGGTTTAACTGGTATTTATTGACTGTCCCAGACACTGAGAGGCTGTTTACAGGGACTGATCGTGGTCAACAAACAGCAATACACACACAGATACACTCACAGACAAACAAAAACAAACCCATTAGCTCATTAGACACATCCAAATGCACACACATGCTACCCCACATAATCAGTCGACCACATCTGCTTCAATCTCATCTATAAGACCTATTTCTGCTCTGAGGCATGATGTTCTGATTTTTTTTCTTGCTCCTCTTTGATATATATCTTTGATATATATTTTTGGTTTGTACAGTACAAATAATCACTTTTGATCATGCATCTTTGTGTAACCCTGATTGAGAAATACAGGAATATGTTTTACTTTTTCAAAAAAAAAAAAAAAAAAAAAATCCACCCTAACATTGTCTGCTAATATTTTACACCTCCCTGACAAAGACGTTTAATTTATCCAACTTTCATTCATGCATTTGCACACAACACCGTCAGTGCTGAAACCATCAGCTGTGATGTGATTTTATATTCAGCCATTCATGTTGTGTTGTATTGTGATGTAATTCTGTCAGATTGTTAACAGAGCATAATCCTGTGGTGAATAGGCAGAGTTGTATTGTAAAGGTACAGGCAGCACTTCATGTATAACTTTTCTTTTAAATCAGGTTGTGATGCATCATTTTTGTATCCATTCATAGACTTCTGACACATTTCTAATAAAGTACTGTATGTTCTGTGTTTTTTTAGAGGAAGTTACAATTTCCAACTTTCATTTCCATTTCTTTCATTTTATTGTACGATACTAGAATAAAATACAAGAAGACTTTGTTGAAGAATGCCCCCCGTGGCAGGATCACCATACAGCATGTGAGGGTAGAGTGACCTGTTGAGACCATGTTGGCATAGAGGGACTTTGCCTGTGATGTTACACAGATGCAGAGAGATTGTGCAAAAGAAACTGAACAGTTTGTTTCTTTACAAATGCAGCTGCAGATAACAGTGCCTGCAAGAAGAAAGTAGGCCCGCCTACTATGGATGCATAAAAACCAGATAACTCCATGTAAGCATCAAACGCTCCTTTAGATCGTAGAAATAAAACCTTGTCAACACACAAAGCTTGAAAACAAATAAGCAAAAACAACACGTGATAAAAGTACAAACAGGGCAGTTGGTTATCTGGGCAGCTGTTATGACATGGTCGTCCTTAGAACGCAAGCTGTTCTCTCCACAGTCACATCCACACTGTCAATACTCATGAAAAATCCTAGCGTGGACTCCCATCAGTCGGCCCCGGTGGCTGTTCGCACCTCGCTTGTGGTAAAGTGACATGATCGAGGCTACGAGACGGTGACTGATCTCTATTGGAGGAAGACGACACGAGGCGTAGACGAGGGTCAAGCATCCCTCGGAGGCACCATCAGCGTGTGTGTGTGTGTGTGTGTGTGTGTGTGTGTGTGTGTGTCTTGCTAGGCCAGATGTGACCTGCATGCTATCTGAACATGCCTGTAAACAAGAATCCACACGCACACACACACACAGAGAAACACAAAGAGACACACACACTCCAGTGGACCCCTTGCTGTTGACACAGGTGGTGTCATTAAAAGGGCGACGTGATGAATGACATGGAAGGATGAGCGGCGAGGGATGCGGCAGGCTTCGATGCTCAGCTGGCACACTTTCCAGTGTATGTGTGTATGTGTGTGTGTGTGTGTGTGTGTGTGTGTGTGTGTGTGTGTGTGTGTGTGTGTGTGTGTGTGTGTGTGAGAGAGAGAAAGAGAGAGAAATGTACAGCTGGGTTGCTTAAATCTGGGTTGAGAAATCTATTCTATGTCTGTCAAGGTCAGAAATTAATGTTCATATAATTCCTAGAAAATAAAAATCAATGCAGACATAATTTTCATTTTCATGTATTAATATGAGAAGTGACCCTCACTGGCTACCATAGGTCATTTTCTGACCCTGTCTCCAGCTGATTCATTTCAGTACATAGTGGATATCAGCAACAGAGCAGCCTTTGATCTGAAGACAAACAACTAAACATTTAGAAAGTGGGGAAAAATGCCGAGTCCACACAAACCACTGAAGTAACAAAAGACAAAACAAACAATGTAATAAACTAGAAAACATCCAGAGACTGGAAACCTCCAACCAGGCTCTGTTTCATTCAAATAAGTTGAGAAACTCATGACTGAACAGTCCAGTTTAATTTCATCTGTACAAACCAAACATCAGCTCCTTGGTGAAGGAAAGAACCAAATCTTTTTCACTCCTTCCACTAAAGCAAAGAGTCAGAGACTAAACTAAACTTGGAGATTCAAACTGAGTGTCTGACTAATTGTGCCTCAAGTGAATTTTTTCAGTTTAAAAGTCTCAAAAAGACACAACTGCCCAAAAAACTTTCAAAAGAGCCAAGAAATCCGTGTGCCCTAACTGAGAGTGTGTTTGAGCCTTTGATCATTGATGTACACATGTGTTTGTGTGTGTGTGTGTGTGTGTGTGTGTGTGTGTATAAAGAGGTTGCAAAGACTGTATGCTAAAGTGAAACTGTTATTTTGTTATGTCACCAACATGAGTGTGTACTTTCCTCAAACAACACGGTACATTGCTCCCATCTCTCACTGGCTAATCCTCTGGCCATCCATCTTTTTGTTTCTTTCACTTTCAATCATCTGCGGCTTGAAGTCGGCGTAGAAACCCCTCTGCCATCCACCCCCTACCCACTCCACCCCCCGTTGACTGAACCGCTGAGACATGTGTTTCTGCTTTGAAAACCTGCAATAAAACGAGAGCGCTAGGGCAAATATAGTTCCAGGTCACTGAAGAGGCCTCGCTTGGCTATCATTTATAGATGATGTGTATTCTGTGGTCAGCAGAGGGTGGAGTTGTGATGATGGGTACGGATATGGAGAGACAGCCAAACGCTCATTAGTACTGAGATCTACCCACCACTGCAAAGCGCCATCCTGAAGGCCAAACTGAGCTTGTCTTTTGAACAAGGGTCGCTGCTTTTTGTGGTGGTGTGTCGACAGACGTGGAAGAACAAGGGATAAAGCTAAGGACAGATACATAAAGATAAAAGAATGTGCGCAGGGACACATGTCAAATCAGGCAGACTGCTAAGTTCATTAACTCATAATTTTTCTCCAAAAAGAACTCATAGGAGCATTTTCTGCCTCTATGGTTGAGGCTCCATTAGGTTTAGGCAACAACATCCTAACCAGCTAGCTGCGGCCCATTCACGCTGTCTCGTGACTTTCCGATACCGAGTCACTGTAGCGTCTGGTCTGCCCTGAAGAAGCTCTTGGCAAGACTGGTGAATATACAGCTGTTAATGCTAATGTTGGCTATGTAGTATTAGCAAAACCTACACCGAGCTCCTTTAATGTGAAGTATTTCTAATCCCATAGGCCTATGGGTTTTTTAATCTCACCATCGTCATCATTTTTATATAAAAAACATTTGTGTTTTATTTGTTTGTTAAATGTGATCAGACATTGAATAGTTTTTGTTTGCTTGTTTTGCTCTGATATTCCAGGGTTTATTATTTTACTATCAGTTGCAAAAAAAGAGAGACGAGGAGAGAAACAGTACCACAGAGACAAAGAGGGAGGTCTCAATGGAGTGTAAAGCCTGTTTGTAACCAGAGCCACGGCTCCATTTAGCAGCGAGTTTCAATATGCTGCTCTGACTGTAATGGATTTTAAATGTGGCAAGAAGGAAGGCAGCAACATGGCAGAGGGATTACCTGAGTGACTACAAGTGCTGTTTTTAACTTGTTAGAGGGTAGAGGACCCATATTCAGGCCAACACACACACACACATGTGCGCGCACGCATGCACACACACACACACTGATACACACACATGCTGTCCTAGTTTCAGAGCCCCTCTTCTATGCCAGAGCATCCATCTCATCTGCAGGTCACCCCTGTTGCCTCCAAGGACAAACAGCCCATTAGCTAAATGAGCCTGGGGTCCCATGCACCTGTCTGTTGCGCACACACACACACACACACACACTGAATCGCAAAGACGGATATAGGCATATAGCAACACAAAACAAACAAACAAGACGTAAAAGAGACATGTGCAAAGATAATCTATAGAATGTAAACTCACAAAAGGCTGATAACCACAAACACACACACTCATACACGTACACAATTAGAAAATTCCCACTTTGCTCTGAGGCGTCTGTCCTGCAGCTGAACAGTAGCTGGCAGAGAGGAGACAGCGGCCAGACGTGCTCAACAACAACAACAACAACAACAACAACAACAACAACAACAGGAAAACAGTTGCTGTGACAAACACACGCAGGGACAACAGCAGCAGCAGCAGCAGCAGCAGCAGCGTGTAGAGACTCACAGTCCTGACATCTACTACATCACTTGTACCCTGCAGCTTCAGACCAGCACACCCGGTAATACAAACAAAACACACTTCCTTCATTCATCCACCAACTGCATTGATACAAGAAAGTCGGAGCGGTGACTGAGTTGGAGCAGATTTGCTGTAGCTGTACAGTAGCTGTTCTGGAGCTTTTGAACACACCACATGATCCTCATCAGCAGATTGAATTTGTTCAGTAAAAACTTAGATTAGAAGTTAATTTCTGGGCAAAAAAAACAAACAAAATGCAATCAAACAGAAATCTGAACAGCTAATTCAATGAAGACTCTGATGAGGAAAATAATGTGAAGAACAGCTTATAAATGGACCTTGTGGTGATCTTTTCCCCCCTCAACCACTGTTTCCAGTCCAAGAATGAACTCTGAAGGGAGGTGGTTCAAACATTTTCTTACTTGCCATCTCCAGCCTTGCTGATCATTTTATTAGTTTATTGGGTTATTGGTCGAGGTTTTTATATATTAGACTACATACCACTACACTTGAGGTAAATGCTAACATATGCTTTAGAAGATACCCTTTAAATTACATTAAATACCTCACAATTACTTTTTAATTGACAATCTATTGTAGTTTTATTAGATCCTAAAAAGTCGCCAGCCTCAAATTCACTTTCACCACCATCACAGGTGTCTATTACAGCTAAAAATGATATAAAGTTATACATTTTCTAAAAGTAAATGGCAAGGTGACCCTGACACTTCCACAGTCTGTGAATCCCAATCATATCATTTTATTAAAGATCAAAGCTCAAATATAAATCATCAGAGATCTTTCTGGAAGCTACATCTTTATAAAAAAAAAAAAAAAAAAAAAACCTTAAATGAAAAATGTTCAGGAGCAGTGTTCCTTTTAAGCTGATACTTTGCTGACCTACTTTAAAGATTTATTACACTGACTTTCTAATAACATCCTGTCATTCATCAGTCACGGCTCCACTTCGCACCCTGAAATTAAAGTTGATACAAGCAGACTTTAAAGTTTTGGTATCAGAAGTGGGGCCGTACTTTGTAGTTTAGAGAAGAGACAGCGATGAGTACAGAGAGCGCAGAGCCCGGAGGAGCTCCAGTGTGAATTGGGCCCCTAACTCTGCTCGTATTATTGCTTCACTCCTCATTTAAGTACAAAAGAGCACTCGCCTATCCATTTTTCATTGCACAAAACAGGACTCTTCAACATGACTCCACCTGGGGATTGTTATTTCTGGATGCTGTGATTCTGTGAATGGTTATTGCTCTCAGGGGTGCAACCAAAAAAAAAAAAGAAAAAAAAAAAGAAAAAGAAAAAAAAAAAGAGGAATCTCATGTAAACGCATGTTCCCTTTTTATCTGATTTATCTTGGGTTCCCTATCGGTAGAAATTGAAGTGATCACAGGAGAATTGCCCTTTTGGCGGCTACTCAAGTAGACCCAAGAGGGAAGAGCAAATACAAATGTAGGACACAGGAGCAAGGCTCCTTCCTTGACAGGCAGTGTTTATGTAAGTCTGTCCTGCTAGCATCCTGCCCCAGCTGGGAATCGCTGTTGCTCTAATGGAATTCTGGGTCTATGAGTTTATTTGGCCTGCAGCTTAAAGGTCAGTGTACCAGAGGTTCAGCTCGGGTGGTTTGGATAACCTTGGACAACAGTGGGACCTGAATTTAGAAACATTTCTAAGCCTGTTGTAATCTCTGAAAAGTTACTTTAGGGCACTGGGTGCTAGTTTCAACATAAAACCAAGAAATTCTTTCAGTTTAAAGGATCAACTTGTCTCTTTTTTAAAAAAAAAACAAAAAACATTTTATATAATTACTCAGTTATGGTGACAATGAACCTACTAAAGTAATTGCAGAGAATGATAATGCTCTAATTAAGACAAACTAAGCATGAAACACGAGCAGTTGGACAATTAGAATAACAGATAAGAATTTTAATGTTTGTTTTTGTTTTCAGTTTTCTCTCTCCAATACATTTGGCCATTTGGCTCATAGCATGATTTTTGATGCAGTTCTCACCACGTTGTTATTGCAAAGGCGATGATGCTGTCAGCACCAGCATGATTAAATTTCATCATACCTTCCTGTGATGATGAAAACTTAACATAATTCTCCACCTGCTGAGTTTCCTTTCCATTTATGAGCGGAGGTAAACCTCACATAAAATCCACAAACCACAAATTCCTTTATTTCAGAAACACTCAAGGCCAAGTAGTCCGCAGCTCATGTTTCGTGCTCTGCCTGACTCCTTTTTAGCCATGTTGCCATGTTCCCAGATCTCAGCAATTATAATTATTAATCATAAGAACGAGGGATGAAACAGTAAGACACAGGCTGAATGAAATCCGAGTAGAGGTATAGCAAAAATTTTATATTCTTTACATCCATTACTATTCCCTGCTGCCCTTCAACCGCCTCTCCTGAGATACAGTGTACAGTAAATGGCATAAAAAAGTATTTATTGCAGATTATTTTTCATCGGGTGTAGAAAGGTGATGTATGACACTGATCCAAGAGCTACAGAACAAACCAGAGTCATGTAGAAACTCGGCTTCACTACAATTGAATTTAAATTGGCTGTTTTCCATGAGGCGATTCATCACATTCAGTGGAGTGTATGGAAAACAGCAGAGCAACTGCAGCTCGGCTGCTGCTCCTCTTTAAGCTTTTAGCTGATGCTGCTGTCCAACACCGGCAGCTACAACAAGGACATTTCAGCAGTTGTATAATGAAACCAATGGACCACTGCGCACCTGTCTTGAAGACCTCATAGCGAACAGAGAAGCCCGCCCCGTGGGTCTCGTAGTCGGAGACGAACTTGATGAGGAGCTGGCCGCCGCTGGAGATGATCGGGGACGGTGCGATCTTCCCGCAAAACTTTCCCAACATGGGCGAAAGTTCGTCCCCGCCGTTGTAAACCTCCACATAGTCGTACCTGGAGGAGGGGAGAGGAGACACAGGTTTAGGTTTCGGTACCTTAGTGCTGAGATGAATTTGAGCTCATAATTGATTTCTACATGAACCTGTCCCGGTGGATTACTGAGCGCTGCTGTTTGTTCCCTCTACAATGTTTTATTACAGACTCTTTGCTCGAATGCTCACAGCTGCTCAACATATGCTTCAGTAATTGTTGTGTCTGAGCCTAATTTATCTGCCCAAAAAGCTCCTCTAGGCTATCAACAGTTGATTAGTGGTAACACAATTTAAAACAGGTATTCCATTAGTTTTACATGGGAAACTCAAATTACAAGACTACAGATGTTTTAACAGAAAGCCAGCGTTACAAATTAGGAACATGGAGACTCTGATGAAAGGGACGATCAAGTTGCACTATGGGAAATGTAGGATAAACAACTTGGAGCTTGAGCAAAGATAATAAGTCAGGATATCTCACAGCTGGTGCATCAGTACTGACAAGTCCTTTTTAAACTGGCTTCTTGCAAGTCCCTCAGCTTGATGGCTGTACAAGCTGCAGTGCTTTGATTCCTTAGTGCAAACTAAATTAACAAAACCTGTGATCGTCTTTGAACATCTACTGTAAATATGGCAGCAGGGAGGTTTTTAAATAACTGTTCAAATCTATTCTTGGATGTAAAACCTGTGCATGTTGTTAGTGTAAATAAAAAGAGACTGTAAAACCACAACAAAGGGTGTAATATCTGCTTTTCTCAAACATGTTTTGCTTTGATACTACTGACTGAACTGAGGCGTTTCCCCAAAATACCGATCTGGTCAGCTGACTGGGTTTGTCTGCCATGTTTTGTCTTCTCTTCCTTAAAGCTGCTGCAGGTGTGGGACTGTGAGTCACGGCAGCTGTCTCAAATGAATTATGGAAGATTTTCATGTTGCAGCAGCAAATCTGAGCATTTCACAGTGAAAAAAAAAATCTCCAGATATAGCAGCTGTATAGAAACATTATTGGCAACAGCTGCTTGTCTATCTGCCTTTGCCTGGTGAAAAGATCAATATTTATAGTGATTATCTCAACATGTCACAGATAGCTTGTGAGGCACCGTGATGTAAGGTGCATTTAATCTCAAAATGAGTTTATATATCTAATGTTTCTCCAGTCTCCAGACCCTGTATTTTCTTCACAGTATCAGCCCTGTCTCCAGTGTGTGTGATTGGGATTGGATTGGACGGAGGCTCCTCTTTCTCGCGCTGACAAAGGCACGGAGAGAGAGGGAGAGTGGGGCGGTGATAACAGACATACGAACACATGGCAGTGTGAAGCACTGGGAGCCCGTGTGGATCCCACTGAGCGCACTGAAAGTCTTCATCAGTCTCCGCTGTCCGTGTGGACCTCCCACCACCGCTGCAGCACCTCATCCTTTACCAGGCGACACCCCTCTGTCCTCCCACCGGCCGCTTCACGACATCTCAAGTGTGTGTTTGTGTGAGTGTGCTCAGTACTGTAGGCTTTGTACATGTTTGTATGTGACTTCTGTAAATATGGATCGCGTACCGATACTGTACTTGGATGCACTGTTAATGTGTTATCCTGTAGTGTGCTTACGTGAGTCTAAGTGCATTTTGTAAGTGCACGAGTAACTCAGAAGTAGCTGTTCTCTTGTGTCCTCCACTCTCTGCACCGCACTGGATCTGATTGAATCACTGAGTCCGTGGAGGCTTCACACGTTATGTGCGTGTGAGGAAACATGCTGAGATGCAAGGTGACTTCAGAACAAAGGTCCCAGACCGCAGATCCCAGAGGGAAGCAGGCTTTAGCGAAGAGAAAAGCAAAACGCCCGACAGGTTGTTAAACTGTCTCTCGGTTCTGCGTTTCACACTAGATCAAAGCTTCCAAACCTTTATGACCCATTACCCGTTATATCCATGTAATATCTACTCGTGACAGGTTGAACATATGTATGAGCTTTCACCAGTTCACTCAAAGAGTAATGTTCCCTTGTCAGATTGTTTTATTTTAATAGTTATTAGAAGAGACAAAATAAACAAGAATAAAACAAAGACTTGATGAGTCAAAGTTAATTCTTGATCTTGGAAACGACAGTTGACAGTTGACTGTGGAGCTCCAGCACAGCCGCCTCAACCTGACAATGTTTAGTAAACCAGTGGGTTTTTTTTTCTTACTCTTTACTGTCTTGTACATAATGTTGTGACCCCTGAGATTAATCGTGCAACTCCTGGAGTCTCAGCTTTCGGTTTTGGAACTGCACTGAACTGCTACAGATGGTGGATCTTGAATTTCTAGGTGCATTTTATCATTTGCTCTGGCCGTTAAGTGTAAATGTGACATTCAGTTATTTCTAGCAGCTGCTGCAGAGGTTGATGTTAAGTATTTTAAAAGTAAAATCAGAAGGTAATATATTTTGGAGTCAGTCCCTCTAAGCCAAAAATCAACATACAAAGTCTGCCGTATATATTGATGATCAACAATCACACAAGAAGAGCTGAGAGACATAGAGACCATTTCTTCCTCTGACGATAGCCTCAATAGACCAGAATTCAATGCAGGAACAAAAAGATGTCTTTTATATAAAACACTTGCTTTTTTCTCAAGCATAATGCACCACAGCTGAGTGCTTCAAGTTCAGGGTCGATATCCAGGGCTTGTTAAAACTAAGTGGGGAAATGTAGGAAATAAATGTGAAGTAGCAGCTGACGAAGGAAGATGGTCACAACAAGAAGTACATTTCAACCTTTTATCACAAATTAATTCCAGTGGGTGAAACTTCACGATAAGTGAGTACATACGTTAAACAGTCCACATACGTAGCATGCTGAGTTCTGTAGCGTCACTGTGGCCTGGAGCTTTCCAATGAAAAACTAATCCAAGTAGCAGACTCGACCCACTTCTCTGTAAACTCTGTTTGTTGGTGGTCTGTGTTCCCTCCACACAACACAACTTGCTCGGCACTCTGTAAACAAGGTCGCACATATCAGACGTGTTTGATGTTATCAGGGCGGCTCAGATCAGACTGTGGAGATCCCCAACAGATAATCTGAGGCGACCATCGGCTTCAGATTTCCCCTCTGACTGTGAGGATGGGAAAAACACAGTGGAAATGAACTCGATATAGTCTGTGATGCCTCAGACATCAAGACTCTACAGCAACATCCAACATCACTCATAAAACAGTTTTCACAGTTTTCATATCACTGGTTTTAAGTGTTTTGTTGGCCTTTTTTTAATCCTGATTTTCACATCTGACATTTTTACTGTTGAGACATTTGTCTCTTATTATTGCTGTACTGTCTAAAAGCACTTTGTAACTGTTTTGATAAGTGCTATACAAATAATGCATATTATTCAGAACTTGTAATACGATATAACAAGCTAAGAAGCTTCTTCCTCTTTTTGCCAGCTGGGTAAACAACTTTGCCTGGTGAGTATCGAAAGCTGCAAAGGGTGGAGTGGAAGAGCCGGGAACCTGGACACATCAGCTGATTGTGTCCTTGAGCAAGACAGAAAATCCATACCAACTTTGGGGTCTCTGTTCTGAAGCCGAGACTGACCTCTGACCTTTCAGACAAGAGAACAGAGAGTTTCCCTAAGGAGGTTGGGTAGAGTATCACGATATTCCTTCAGCCTGCTGGTCAGCAGCAGAAGCTCTCAGGTAAGAATGTGTGGAATGTATGTCTAATGAGACCCTTCACTACAAATACAGATTTAAGAAGCAGGCGTCCTGACTGAGCCAGATAATTAACCATGCTCAGTTTAATGTATTTGCTACAGCTGAACCAGAAAAGACAAAAAAAACAAAAAAACCTATAAACGTTTCCCACAGAAACTTCAGCTGCAGGTTTGGACTGAGGCTCTGCCAGACGGTCAGCTTGTCTCAGACTGAAGGAATTCAACTGTTGACTGATGATTTTCCTCATGGCTAACAGCATTAACGTTCAGACAGAAAGCTTGTTAGGTGGTGGTTTTCAAAGAGTCTCTTCGTCGGTTTGACATGGGAAATTTGTTTCTCCTCTAAATCTCCTGCAGACATCAGACATTTAAAGGTTTCGGTCTTACATATGGTCGAACAGCTAGACAGACATAGCTGCAGTATGTCACTTAGCACAGAAATGTATATGGAGTATTTCTATGGATTTACCTTGGTAATTTTTATACGTGTATTGACCAGAAAGCCTCTGAATGCCTTCAAAGAAAAGACTTAGTCCAGGTAAACTTCATTTCTTAATATGTTAAGAATTTTTTAAAGATATTTCTTGGCATTTTGCCTTTGTTAGATTAGTTTATAGTGGAAATGGAGACAGGATAGAGATGACAGAGGATAGATATAGCATAGATAGCATCGAATCGTATCATTCTTTTTGACCACTATAGGCCACCAAGACAACAACTACATCAGCAAAAGAGATTTTACTTTCACCAGAAACCAGCAATTAGATGAGAGAGGCCTGATCAATAATCAATGAAGCAGAATCTGACACAATCATATAGGAAAAGGTGCAGATAGCAAACACACAACAATTAAAACTGCATAAATGATCAATACAAATTCAAAATCAAAACAGTGTGAGAGCACAAACCTATAAAGAATTAGAGACAGTTTAAGCTCAGTCCTCTGACTGTCTATTCGTCGTGCTGTATACTAACACACTGCGAGTCATTTACTTAACTAATATCAACATGCACGTTACTGCAACATCATCCTCTGAAAATGTGAATATCAAATTAAGAATAACAAACACACTTAGCCATTATCAAAACACTAGTTAAGTTTCCACACTGTCAAACATGCAGTAATTCTCAGGCAAGTCTGTTTACACACATTATGTATGTGCAGCGCTGACAGCTCAGGGCATAAACAATGTTTTCCATGTTTAAATGGAGGTGAAAAAAAAAACAAAACAGTTCTTGCGCTCTGACTTTATTTTTCTGTCCGTCTTTTATTCTCCATGTGTTCGCGGATGGTTTTAGATGACCGGTGAAAAATGGACTGAAGTATTCACCAGTAA